CTAGAGCACCCGCCAACCACCCACTCTCGACTCTCACATAAGCATAGGTATTCAGGTGTACTCCTCCACAAAGGCAGACAGACAAAGCACACAGAAGGGAAACAGGATCAAACTAGAGGGAACAAACTACAGGCATCAATAAAAAAAAGGAGGGCAATAAGAGACTGTTAGTTATAGTAAGAGTTTTTACGGCACTTGCAACACAATAAGGTCATATAAGTGCCGAAGATTAGAGGCGTTACAAGAGAGTAACAAACACAAAAAAGAAGGAGGAGAGATAAGGAGGATAGATGTATGATAGGAAAGAAGATGCAAACCACACCAGAGCACCCGCCAACCACCCGCGATAAGAGACAACAGCATCACGGAGTTGGCAACACTGTCTTACAACAGCAGTAACAAATAAATCAATAACAAGTCGAGGGAGGCAACATGGCAAAAAACAAAAACAACGGAAAATTTTCTTTTTCAGGAGGCAGTCACGACGACAAAAAACGAATCCTCAAAAACTGTTGAAAGAAACAAGCAGCTTGTACAAACTGACCACACTTACACAATAAACGACAGCTCCAGAAAACCTGTCTGTCTGTGGTTTTGCGTAAATTGATATGGCAACAAAATCAAACAATAATTTATACTATAAAAAATAAAAACATTGAAAATAATAACAATAGTTATAACAATGTGTACACTTGTCAGCACATAAGATCTTAGACCACATCAAAAACAAACCCATCTTAAAGAAAACAGAAAGCTTCACAATAAACAAACTCATGCATCACCTCAAGCTCCGCCCACAACAGAAAAGTGTAAGCCACAGATGTCAAGACCTGCTAGCCATAGACGTCAAACTCAAGACCTGCCAGCCACAGATGAGCCACAGACGTCAAACTCAAGGCCTGCGAGCCACAGATGTCAAACTCAAGGCCTGCGAGCCACAGACGTCAAACTCAAGGCCTGTGAGCCACAGACGTCAAACTCAAGACCTGCTAGCCACAGGTGTCAAACTCAAGACCTGCTAGCCACAGATGTCAAACTCAAGACCTGCTAGCCACAGATGTCAAACTCAAGACGTGCCAGCCACAGGTGTCAAACTCAAGACCTGCCAGCCACGTCCAGCCCAGTAAACAATTATATATATCGTCTACTGCTACAGAATTTTAGGCAATCCATCCCGAGAATTTCTCATTAACACAAAATCTTACTCCAAACATAATAATAAAAATAAGCAGCATTTGTATAGCGCACATCCCCGCTTAACAGCAAGCTCTATGCGCTTTACACTATATTATTACCCCAGCAGACCATAGAACACTCAGAAACATTCTCAGCTTCCCCAGAAGCACACAGCCCAAGCAGCTGATTAAGCGCTCAAACACAAACAAACTGACAAGATCTTTCACTGTCTATAGCCGAGTACCCATTATTCCCACGCGGGTGAAGTGAGGAAAACTCGTGTGAAGTGCCTTTCCCAAGGACAAAACGTCAGGTCCCAGTCGGGATTCGAACCCATGACCTTACGGTTGGGAGTCTGAGAGCTTAACCATTAAGCTACCGACACCACATATAAACGAACTTATTGCCAAGAAAATGTGCCAAACATCCAGCTTCGACAAATTCGCATAAGAGCAAACATCGGTATTTCTTGATCTGTCATTATTTCAACTCTTGTCTGGCTTTTAATTGACATCACTGTTTAAAAAAAGGTTTAGTTCTCCACTGCTCAATGAGTTCATCCAGTTCGGCCCACAAACAACGTAAGTGTGTTATTTGGGAGTCGCCCCGTCAGCGATTGAGTCGGACACCCCTGGAGTAAGCGATCGTGCAAGCATGCATGCTAATAATATCTGTACACAACAGCATCGCGCCTGGAATGCTGTCAAAACAAGCAATGGTACATGGGTAAGATCCACAAACAACAGAGCAAGGTTTTCTACTACAAGTCCACAAGCTTCACACACTACAATAAACAATCTCCCAGCAACGGCTAGCATCAGGTTTTTCACTTGTCCCAGTTTTGAGGAGAGAGAAAGCCACGATCCAGCGATAGCCATCGCCAGAAAGGATCAAGATTCACAACTGGTTTGAGTAGAGAGAGGCACACCAACATAATGACTGACACTTTGTGCAGGGGAGAAGTGGGGAGGAGAGAGAGAGAGGAGGAGAGAACGAGAAGTGGAGAGAAGGAGGGGGAGAAAAAGATGGGGAGGGGGGGGTGTAGAGAGTGTGAGAGGGAGAGAGAGAGAGAGAAGGGTGGGGGGAGGTGGGGAGGTGTTGAGAGCAGGGATGGGAATTAGTTTACAACTTACAAGAAGAGCGGGAGAAAGATGATAGGGCTGATGACGAAAAACTGCATGTCGTTAGCCAGATACCAAGACCAGCCCATGCACTGAGGAGAGGAGAGGAAAATATGGTGAGCGATGAGGTTTGGCTGCTAGATGAAGAAAAAGCTTAGTGATTTTACCAAGCGACAAAAATTTTAATTTAAGGCTAGAAAAGAACCCCCCACCTCTCTCTCTCTCTCTCTCTCTCTCTCTCAAACACAGACCACAACGAGACATAGACCTACTTTTACATAGTATACAGACACTTGCACAAAGATCA